CAGCACAGAGCCCGACGCGGGGCTCGAACCCACGAACCGCGAGATCATGACCTAAGCGAAAGTCGGACGCTTAACCGACTGAGTCACCTAGGCGCCCCCAGGTATAATTTTGTTGAAAGAATTTAAAAATATAGGGTGCCTGGGTGGCTCAGTCGGTTAAGCATTCGACTCTTGATTTCAGCTCAGGTCTTGATCTCACAATTCATGAGATAGAGCCCCAAGTTGGGGTCTGTGCTAGCAGCACAGAGCCTGCTTGGGGCTCTCTCCTCTCTCTCTGCCCCTCCCCTGTTCATGCATGCTTTCTCTCTCAAAATAAATAAACTGTAAAAAAAATTTTTTCAATATATAAATTAAAAACTACTACCATGCTTAGCATGATAACCAACATTTTTCTATTCATGAGGACATAGAGAATATAAACGGGGACATGAATCTACAACTTCATCCCACAGCATACTTCTGTAACCTCTCTCCAGCTTCAGAGAATGTTGTGTATTTTAAGACCTGAGGTGAAGTACTCAGAGCACCCTGGCACTAAGCCCTTTCCTGTGGAGAATTTCACATTTTCTTTCGGGTTTTACTTTAACATTCGGTGCAATTTTTTCCCCTGATATTATAAGTTATTTGAAACAGCCAACAGTATTATTCAAGAATGTGAACAGTCTATTTTAGAGAAATAGTCTATTTTAGAAAAATGGCAAGAAAAGGTGTTTCTGTGAAAAAGAAGCTCATTAAGGTTTAATCTCCAAATCTAACCTCCTCAGTCTCTACAAAGGCAGATTAGTCTCAGTCAGGTTTTATAGTCCAATACTAAAGACCAATAACTCACTCTGACTCAAAGGAAACTGGATACCAAAGTAACAGAAGCATTTTATTTCTTACCGCCTGCTCCTTCCAGAATGCCCCGGACTACTGCCTGAACACCACTGGGCTTCATCAACCTTTCGGAGAGCAGCTGCCCACATAGACGCCGAAGCCAAGCTGGGGCCCGACACCTAACTTGTGTCTTCTCATCTGTGCAGGACTGAAAAAGGAAGGGAACGTATGAATTGAATGTCAGTGAAATAGACAGGACATGTAGAAATTATTAAAATATATAAATATATATACTGAGTCATACTGATGATAAACAGTGTGATAAAAGACTTCAGAAGAGCAACAGTTTTTTCCAAAAAGACAGTCTTCTACAAAACCTTCTTCAGCATCACCTTTTAAGAAAGTGGAAATGCTACGAAACTTCCCATGAAATATCAAGTGAAACTGCAAACTCAGAAATAGACAAACACACAGATGAATAAAATACAGATTTTAGAGAGGTACCTGGGTGGCTCAGTGGGTTAAGCATCCAACTCTTAATTTCGGCTCAGGTCATGATCTCACGGTTTGCAAGATCGAACCTCACATCAGGCTTCGCACTAACAGCAGGAAGCCTACTTGGGATTCTCCGTCTCCTCTCTCTCTCCCCTTCCCCCACCTCAAAATAAATAAACTTTAAAATATATATATAACATAAATGTATATATACGTCTTTATTTCTTTTAGAAACACAGAGTTAATGTAAACAGTCTCCTAATGCAGTCCTTCCAATCAAATCTAGCCTCCCTAGAGGAGTCCTAGGAACATCACTCACCACTAAGAGTGCAGTTCAGTACAGTAAGAGGACATGCTAGTCCTTGCCTCCACGACCTCAGCTACTCTGACTGTGGCACAGAAGGTTCAAAAAAGAGTTGAATTTCTTCAAGCGCTCCTTTTGGAGATCTCTGTGGAGCCACCATGAACACAGTGGACTTGGGGGTTCTTGTTGCGGGTCTAGAATGTGAACTATGCTGCTGTCAACCATGGTATTTAACTATGTGAACATAAAACTGTGACAGACAATTTAATCCTAACTAGCCTGTCCTCTTTTATTTAAGGAGGATTAATAATTACTAATTATTGAGGGGGTTATGATTTGCCAGGCACTGTGTTAAATACCTGCTACATAATCTCAAAACAGACTCGTAAGGACTATCCTCTCGATAAGGAAACTGAGGGATGGAAATGTTCACTGATTCACACAACCGCATGCTGGGTTGAATCCCAGTGGGCTGACCACCTGAGCCTTAGCTTTTTGCCTCACTCTTTTTTTTTTTTTTTTTTTTTAATGTTTTATTTATTTCTAGGAGAGAGAGAGAGAGAGAGAGACAGCGTGAGCAGGGGAGGGTCAGAGAGGGTCCCCTCTCTCTGAGAGGGAGTCACAGACTGAAACAGGCTCCAGGCTCTGAGCCGGCAGTCAGCACAGAGCCCGACGCGGGGCTCGAACCCACGAACCGCGAGATCATGACCTAAGCGAAAGTCGGACGCTTAACCGACTAAGCCACCCAGGCGCCCCTGCCTCACTCTTGTAACACATTCAGTTTTATCTGACAAGCTGTGGAGTCACGCAGAGAGGCAGAACCTGAGGCCAGAGGGACCCAACAAGAGACGACAGTAATACTCTAGGGATGAGATGAAAATGGCTTCTTTGAGGAGGTATCTTTGAAACCAGCTTCAGCTAGTCCTTGTTCCTGACCTACCACTAATTCCTTTGGCCCCTCACTCTTTACTCACCTATATCCAAAACTAAATGTATTGCTAAATATATTAGCAAGTAGGTAACTCCATCTACATCATCAGATCAAAACACGTCAGAAAACTAATAATTTTTAGGGAAAAAAGGAACTATACAATGCCTAGCAGGGTATATACTATTATGTTTTTCAAACAAAGGAGATAAAAACAGTCCTAATAATAGCTCTAATTTTAATTTCTTGACTATATATATTCCATTCAAAGAATAAGATGTCAAAATACTTCTACCAGAAGAATTATTGTCAAACAGCCAAATTTTAGTATAAAAAAAAAAAAAAGAGTTCTAGGGCACTGGGTGGCTGAGTCAGTTAAACATCCAACTCTTGATCTTGACTCAGGTCTTGGCTTTGGGGGTCATGATTTCAAGCCCCACATTAGGCTCTGTGCTGGGCAGGAAGCCTACTTAAAAAAATAAAAATTTTTTTTTGAAAAAAAAAAAATTCCAGTTTCAGAATGAATAAAACATATGTTAAATACAATTGCCATATTCCAGTTAAAAAAGTTTTTAACTGGAATATTTAATAAATAAAATGACCATATTCATGAGAAGAGTGGCCGTCAGTCCATTAATAGAAAAATGCTTAAATATTATCCCAAGGGGCAGAGTACTTGGCTGGTTCAGTAAATACAGCATGCGACTCTTGATTTTGGGGTGGTAGGTTCAAGTCCCATGTTGGGTGTAAAGATTACATAAAAATGAAATCTTAAAAAGAAAATTGGAGGGGCGCCTGGGTGGCTAAGTCGGTTGAGCGTCTGACTTCGGCTCAGGTCATGATCTCACGGTTCGTGGGTTCGAGCCCCACATCGGGCTCTGTGCTGACAGCTAGCTCAGAGCCTGGAGCCTGTTTCAGATTCTGTGCCTCCCTCTCTCTCTGATCCTCCCCTGCTCATGCTGTCTCTCTCTCTCTCTCAAAAATAAATAAAATATTTAAAAAAAAAAAAGAAAGAAAGAAAATTGGAGCACCTGGGTGGCTCAGTTGGTTAAACTTCTGGCTCTTGATTTCAGCTCATGTCATGATTTCAGGGTTGTGAGATCGAGCCCCATGCTGGTCTCTGTGCTGGGCGTGGAGCCTGCCTTATTAAGATTCTCTCTCTCCCTCTGTCTTTCTCTACTCCACCCTCCACCATTCATGTGATTATGCATACACATACTCACTCTCTCAAAAAAAAAAAGTATCCTAAGGGTCAGGTTAACTTAGTTTTACAAATATCATTTAATGATCTAGAAAATGAAATAAGGCCCAACTTGAATATTCCCAAGAGAAGACAACATTCTGCACATTATCATTAATGATTCACCCACGAGAGTCCCCAAGTCTGAATACCTGGGGTGGTCCTCCCTGGAGGATAAGTAATTCTCGGACTGCTAATGGTTGATACACTTGATCCAAGATGTCTCTCAAGGCCTGTCTAGAAAAGGTTCTTTCTTCTTCCGTTAAAACCTAAAAGAAACATGTACTTGGCTTTAGCAGGCAATAGAAGGTAATGTTTACAATACTGCACAAAAACACTCAGGAGAAGAGGGTAGGCTTTTTTCCCCTTTGACTCCCTTCCACATGGAGGAAGTTATAATACTGAAACACTCCTGGCCGTCTCTCCATCCCCTCACTCACTTCTGGGCAGGAGATCTTGGGCACTTAACTTATTGGTGAGTTTGGAAAAAACTTCCTTATTGGTGAGTGCTGGCCTGTACCACTCGGCCTGTTCCTCTTCTGTCCGGGAGTAAGTGCATGTTTTGCTCCTCTCTTCCTTGCCCTCCACAGAGCACAGCCCTGCCACAGGGCAGAAGGTGCTGCCAGCAGTCCCTAGAACCGGGCCAGCAGTAAGTGTGTCTGACTCTGGAATGCACTGTTAGAAAGCCCGACTGTCTCCAAAAATAAGCCATATCCCTGGGATGCCTGGGTGACTCAGTTGGTTAAGCGTCTGACTCTTGATTTCAGCTCAGGTCATGATCTCAGAGTCATGAGATCGAACTCCACGTCAGGCTCCACACTGAGCATGGGACCATGTTTAGTATCCTCTCTCCCTCTGTCCCTCTTCCTGGCTTGCATTCTCTCTCTCTCTCTTTCTCTCCTTCTAAAATTAAAAAGTATATATATTTTTTTAAAAAAAGCTATATCCCCAACTTTGCATTTAGGAACAATAGAGGTGACAATTTGGGGCACACGGGTGGCTCAGTTGGGCGTCCAACTTCAGCTCAGGTCATGATCTCACAGTTTGTGGGTTCGAGCCCCGCGTCAGGCTCTATGCTGGCAGCTGGCTCAGAGCCTGGAGCTTGCTTCAGATTCTGTGTCTCCCTCTCTCTCTGACCCTCCCCTGCTCATGCTCCATCTCTCTCTCAAAGAATAAATAAACATTAAAAAAAAATAGAGGTGACAATTTGAATTTTCATTTCACTGACACTGTTAACTGTCTTTTAACTCATTCAGAAGTTGGGCAGCAAAAAGGGGTTCTATTGTTGGGTCCCCTTGAACCCAACGGTCCCCTTTGGGTAACTCAGTAAAGCAGTCAGGTCACACCCGTACCACTGAGCATCCTGAAGCACAGGCACTGCTCAGAGCAGCGCCCGAGGCTGGGACTTGCCCTGCTCCTAAACACACCCACTGTGTTTCCCCTTCTCTCAACTTGTCTCATCTTCCTACCTAGTCCCTTCTGTGTGCTTCCCTTTTCTCCCTCCTGCTTGACACTCTGGGGCACTGCTTAGCCCCGGTAACAGTAGTAAGACCTCACAGTCCAGAGCCCCCTCAGAGAAGTAGAGGCAGCAGGCACTGAGAGCAATGTCACCACCCATTCCCTGTAGTAAAGAGCACAGCACACTGCTCTCCATAACATGAGGCCACTGAGGAAGCTGATCATTTCATGCCACTGCTCGGATGATACAGCTTTTAGACACATGTTTATGAACATACGCAGGAGAGAGAATGGAAAAGGGAACAAACAGAAAAGAAGCAAGTTTGGGGGCACCTGGGTGGCTCAGTCAGTTAATCTGACTCCTGGTTTCAGGTCAGGTCATGATCTCACAGCTCATGAGTTCAAGCCCCACATCATGCTTTGTGCTGACAGTGCAGAGCCTGCTTGAGATTCTCTCTCTCTCTGCCCCTCCCCTGTTCACATACGCTCTTTATCTCAAAATAAATAAATAAACTTAAAAAAAAAAAGGTGCATCTGGGTGGCTCAGTCTGTCGAGCTTCCAACTTCAGCTCAGGTCATGATTTCATGGTCTGTGAGCTCGAGTCCCTCATTGGGCTCTGTACTGACACCTCAGAGCCTGGAGCCTGCTTCAGATTCTCACTCTCTATCCCTCCCCCACTCACACTCTTGTCTCTCAAAAATAAATAAATGTTAAAAAAATTTTAAAAAGAGGGGCGCCTGAGTGGCTGAGTTGGTTAAGCGTCCAACTTTAGCTCAGGTCATGATCTCATGGTTTGTGGGTTCAAGCCCCACATCGGGCTCTGTGCTGAACGCTCAGAGCTTGGAGCCTGTTTCGGATTCTGTGTCTCCCTCTCTCTCTGCCCCTCCCCCACTCATGCTCTGTTTCTCTCTGTCTCAATAATAAAAACCATTAAAATTTTTTTTTTTAATTTTTAAAAAGAAAAGAAACAGGTTTGAAGGTCCCAGAGAGAAATGAGGTGGGTGGGCCTTGTGAACCAGCTGCAGGGGCTAACGAATTAGCCCACAAAAGAGCCACACTGACTTTCAGTACATTTGTATCTTAACAGCCTCTTCTGGCTAGGCTCCTGTGCTGATGGTCCTCTCCTGGGAAGCAGTGATCCCTGCTAAGTTATACTTAGAAGTCCTGTCTCCTCAGTTAATGTCTTATGCTTCTGTAACCCCCACACCACTTTTATAGTCCAGGTACTCAAATCCTTACTATGTCAGCAAAAAACAGGCACATCTCCCCAACAGCTAATAATAACAACAAATATTGATTGAATTATACAGCATACCCCGTGCTTTACACATTTCATGTCATTTAATCTTCCCAAGAACTTAATGAAGGAGAGATGAATAGTTTAATACTGATATTAGTAGTAATTACTTTTTGATGAGCACTACTGGGAATTGGGTTAGGTACTTTATACACATTATCCTTAATCCTCACAACCACCTTCCAAGGCAGCTATTATTATACACATTTTATTAAAAAGGAAACAGAAGAGGGGTGCCTAGTGGCTCAGTCGGTTAAGCATCTGAATTTGGCTCAGGTCATGATCTCACCATCTGTGGGTTTGAGCCCCGCGTCGGGCTCTGTGCTGACAGCTAAGAGCCTGGAGCCTGTTTCGAATTCTGTGTCTCCCTCTCTCTCTGCCCCTCTCCTCACTCACACTTTGTCACTCTGTCTCTCTCTCTCAAAAAAAAAATAAACATTAAACATTTTTTAATTAAAAAGAAACAGAAGCTCAAAGAAATAGCCTACAGTAGTTGCAAAATGACAAGAAGAAAGAGGCTCTAGGCATGGACTGTCTAGGCGTACTAAGGACTAGCATCTAAAAAATGAAGCTCCAGCCCCGTAAAATATTCAGTTATCCACTGGATATGGTTTGGCATTCAAGAGGAATTCTAGACCTTTCCAACAGCCCTTTTCTAAAGAACTAAGAGTTTTCTTTTATAACCACGCACACAAATATACACACATTCACACAGACACACATGTACTCAATCTGTGTTTACCTCTTCCTCAGGTTTTCCTGGTTTTCTCTTGGTTGGGCAGAATCCCAGCTGACACAGACCAGCAGCAATATCCCCAAAATGGCGGCAGAAGATCAAGCTCCCCAGGGATGTGTGATGCGCAACATTTAGAAGAACCCTGCAGCTGGTGAACAGCCTCCGGGTCGCTTCGGGAGGAGCCGTGAGACACACCACATCCTGAACAACGGCGCCAAACTCAGTCCTGCATCTCAAAGGGACTCCAACGCCAGGCATGAGATACGGACAGACACCCAAGGTGACAACAAACTGCAACACTGACTGGACAGTCTTCTGCTGCGAGATACTAAGCGTATCTGGGCTCAGGGCAGGAGCGGCTTCCGGAGTCCTCGGGTTGGGTTTGCCGGGATTGAAATCAGCTGCAAGGTGGATCATGCTTTCCTTCAAGCACAACAGCAACAGCAAGGCTTGCGAGGTAAACCTCCAGGTGACGTCCACAGAGTTTTGTGGCCATTCTGCCTTATTAGCAATTTCATCCTTTAGGAGTTTCAATTTTGTCCAGTGAGGATCCTTCAGCAATTTGTCCTCCAAAGCAGACAGGTTGGAGCTTAAAGTCGCCAAAAGGACATCATGTTTTGTGATCTGTAGTGAACTTGAGTCCGATGCTTTTGAGGGGAAAAAAAAAAGGGTTATCTACACGGGTAACAAATTGTACTCTGTGTGGAATGCCTCACCCTCTCCAGCTCATCCCCTGGGCCTGGCTCAAATGTCACTGCCCCTGAAAGTCCTCCCAAGTTGTGCCGCCCAAGCCTGGGCAGAATTCAAGACCGTTTCCTGCCCACAGCACTTCGGGATGTTAGAACACTGCGCCTAACATGTTTCATCTAGTTTATTTCTATTCCCCGTGTGTTCTGAGGGTATTGGCCACATTGGACATCTTAGGGGGCTGAAACTGTAGCCAGAACAGAAAGATAGAGGGCTGTATATTTACCAGAGAAGAGTCATTTAGACTGTTCTAAGTGCCAGAGATAAACCACTGAATAAAACAAAGTCCCTTCCCTCACGATACTTCCATTCTAGTGAGGCAGACTGCAAAATACAGGCCTAAGTTTCAGGGGGATTCATGTAATCACCTCTGCACCCAAGTATCCATTCTCGATGCTTCCTGACCCTTCCTAAAATGGTCTTTTCTGCCCTCTACTGGTGAAGGAGAGCTCACATGCTCACAGCAGTAGCTGACATAGTTGACAACACCCTCCTTGAAACATTCTCTCCTTTTTTAAAAAAAGTTTGTTTATATTTGAAATGCAGGGGCAGAAAGAGGATCCAAAGCAGGTTCTCTGTCAGCAGAGCGCCCAAAGTGAGGCTCAACTCAGGAACTGCAAGGTCATGACCTGAGCTGAAGTCCGACACTTCATGGACTAAGCCACCCAGGCACCCCAAAAGACTCTCCTCAATTAGCTGCTGAGACACCTCAACGGCCATCCTTCCAGAGCCTACTCTGCCGGCTCCTCCTCTCCCAGGTCTCCACATTCTCCAGGGCTTATCTGGAATTCTGCGTTCCTTCCCTCAAGGATCTTCCCCAGGTCCGGGTCTTTAAAAACCATCTGTAAGAAGGGGTGCCTGGGTGGCTTAGTCGGTTAAGCATCCGACTTTCGCTTNATCTGTAAGAAGGGGTGCCTGGGTGGCTTAGTCGGTTAAGCATCCGACTTTCGCTTGGGTCATGATCTCGCGGTTCGTGGGTTCGAGCCCCGCGTCGGGCTCTGTGCTGACTGCCAGCTCAGAGCCTGGAGCCTATTTCAGAGTCTGTATCTCCCTCTCTCTCTGACCCTCCCCTGCTCATGCTGTCTCTCTCTCTCCCCTAGAAATAAATAAAAATATTTCAAAAAATAAATAAATAAAAATAAAAACCATCTGTAAGCTAACCACTCCCAAATTTGTATCTCCAGCCCATGTATACCCTCTAAGTATCAGGATAAGTAAAACGAAAATCACGTCTATGCATAGTATAGTCAACTGTTAAAATTAGAGAGAAAGAGAAAATCTTGGAAGCAGCCCGAAAAATATGATGCATTATATATAAGGGATAATGCTGTGAATGACCGAGAACTTACCACAAACAGTGACTGCTAAAAGATGGTAGAAAAACATCTTTGAAGTATGACAGAAGAAATAAAATGTCAACTCAGAATTCTCTATCTAGTAAAAATAACCTTCAAAAATGAAAGTAAACACATTTAGATCAATGAAAATCAAGAGAACTGACTGCCAGCAGACAAATGGTAAAGGAAATGCTTCAAGCTGAAGGAACATAATACTAGATGGAAACTGGAATTTTCAGGAAGGAATGAAGAGCATCAGAAATGATAAGTATGGGGGTAAATATAAAAGACTAATTTTTTCCTCAATTCCCTTAGATACATATATATGTGTCTAAAGCAAAATTTAAGATTTTTTGAAAAGTAATCTCTACAGGGGTGCCTGGGTGGCTCAGTCGGTTAAGTGACTTCAGCTTAGGTCGTGATCTCACGGTTCATGGGTTCGAGCCCCGCGTCGGGCTCTGTGCTGACAGCTAGCTCAGAGCCTGGAGCCTGTTTCAGATTCTGTATCTCCCTCTCTCTCTGACCCTCCCCTGCTCATGCTATCTCTCTCTCAGAAATAAATAAAACATTAAAAAAAAAAAGTAATCTCTACACTAAATGTTGGGCTGAAACCTACAACCCTGAGATCAAGAGCTGCACACACTACCGACTGACCCAGTAAGGTGCTGCTCTAAAGCAAATTTATAAAATTGTATTATGGATTTATAACTTACATAGATATAACAAACATGAAAACTAGAGCATAAAGCCCAAGTCAGGGAGTGGGAGCTATAAAATGACTCTGATAGTTTCAAGGTCCTTATTTGTCATGCAAAGTAGTACAATATTAATTCTAAGCAGCTTGTGAAAAAAATAATGCATGTTGTAATTTCCCCAGGACAACTATTAAAAACACAATGCAGAGGCACCTGGGTGGCTCAATTGGCTAAATGTCCAACTCTTGATTTTGAAATTTTTTAAATGTTTTAATTATTTCTGAGAGAGAGACAGCATGAGCAGGGGAGGGTTAGAGAGAGGGGGAGAGACAGAATCCAAAGCAGGCTCCAGGCTGGGAGCTAGCTGTCAGCACAGAGCCCGACGCAGGGCTCGAACCCACAAACCATGAGATCATGACCTGAGCCGAAGTCGAATGCTTAACCGACTGAGCCACCCAGGTGTCCCCAACTCTTGATTTTGGCTCAGGTCATGATCTCATGGCTCATGAGTTCAAGCCCCAAATCAGACTCCACGCTGATAGTGTGGGGTCTGCTTGGGACTCTCTCTATGTCCCTTTTTCCCTCTCTCTCTCAAAAATAAATAATTTTTTTTTAAATATTTTTATTTATTTCTAGGAGAGAGAGAGAGACAGAGCAAGCAGGGGAGGGTCAGAGAGAGAGAGAGTCACAGACTGAAACAGGCTCCAGGCTCCGAGCTGGCAGTCAGCACAGAGCCCGATGCAGGGCTCAAACCCACGAACCGCGAGATCATGACCCGAGTGAAAGTCAGACACTTAACCGACTAAGCCACCCAGGTGCCCCAAAAATAAATAAATTTTTAAAAATTACAATGCAGGGGCGCCTAGGTGGTTCAGACTCTCCCTCTTTCTGCCCCTCCCCTGCTCTCACACACACTCTCTCTCTCACTCAAAATAAATTAAAAAACACTAAAAAAAAATTTTAGGGGCACCTGGATAACTCAGTTGGTTGAGCGTCCGACTTCAGCGCAGGTCATGATCTCACGGTTTGTGAGTTGGAGCCCCACATCCGGCTCGCTACTGTCAGCGCACAGTCCACTTCAGATTCACTATCTTCCTCTCTCCTTACACTACCCCTGACTTGCACTCTCTCTCTAAAGTAAATAAAACATTTAAAAAAGTTTTTTTTGCCACAATGCAAAAATGAGGGTTATAGTCATAAAACCATAATAAAATGTTGAAAATATAAATGAAAATAAGCAGTAAGACTTCAAAACTAAAGTTAATATACATTCTAAGAGGCAAATTAGAAATGAGGCACCTAGGTGGCCCAGTGGGTTACGTGGCCAACTCTTGATTTCTGCTCAGGTCATGATCTCATGGTTCATAAGTTCAAGCCCTATGTCAGGATCTGCGCTGACAGCGCAGAACCTGCTTAGTATTCTCTCTCTCCCTCTCTCTCTCTGCCCATATCCCAATTGTGTTCTCTCTTTCAAAAATAAACATTTAAAAAATTTTTAAAAGAAGCAAATTAGAAAGGATTAAAGTGGAATGATAACTGAAAGAGTGTTCAACCGTGCATTACTTACAATAGCGTAAATGAGAAATACATATCCAATAACAGGAGATTGGATGAGTAAATTGCAGCTACCTGGATCTAACATGCTATATGTATGTGTAATATTTGTTTATTGTCTCTCTATAAACTAGAAAGAAAGCTGCTTGAGGACAGAGATGTTGCTCGTTTTGCTCACTGCTACATTCTCCTTGCCTAAACAAGGCCTGTCTGATATGTAGTAGTTGTTCATAATAAGTTGTTGAATGAATGAATAATTGAATATTTGCAGCTATTAAGTTGTGTTGAGGGATGTCTGGCTGGCTCAGTCACTAGAGCATCTGACTCCTGATCTTGGAGTTGTAAGTTCGAGCCCCACACTGGGCACAGGGATTACATTTTTAAAAAGTTACATTGAACATTATTTAATGACATACTCATTAAATATATTCTGAAGCGAACAGAGTATGAAACACTGTATGAGCAAAAGATATGAACAGTTTATAGAAAAAGAAATGCAAGTGACTTCTAAACATGAAAATATGATCAACCTTGCTCATAACAGAAAAGTAAATTAAAACTGTACTGAAATAGCACTTCCCATTTATCAACTGGCTAAAATCCAAAAGTTTTATAACACATTATGTGGCAAGGTTTTGGGAAATCACACACTCTCATATACTGCTCTTAGAAACTAAAATGGTACATTCCAGAAGAGAGCAATTTGGCAATACCCTGCAAAATTATGTACATATTTAATGTTTGGCCCAGCAATCCTGCTTTTTAGGAATCTATACTACAGACAAATACACAGGCAAAAATGCAAAATGACATACACACACACCTATTGACTGTAGTGCTTCTCGTATTAACAAAAGACCTGAGACAAACCAAAGTCCGTTCAAAGAGAACTGATAAAAAACAATGGCATATCTACACAATGGCATGCTTGTAAAAGACAAAAGATTTCTGTGAACCACTATTTAGTGACCTCCAAGACATATTAAATTTTAAAAGTAAGGTAGAAAAGAATGTCCATCATATGCTACCTTTTGTGTAAGAAAGGGAGGGAATATAAAATATTTGTTTTTATTTTCAAAAAGGCAGTGAGGGGCCTTTTGGTGGCTCAGTTGGTTAAGCGTCCGACTTTGGCTCAGGTCTCATGGTTCGTGGGTTCGAGCCCCATGTCAGGCTCTGTGCTGACAGCTCAGAGCGTGGAGTCTGCTTCAGATTCTGTGTGTTTCTCTCTCCTGCCTCTCCCCAACTTGTGCTCTCTCTCTCAAGAATAAACATTTAAAAAGTTTAAAAAAAAAAAAAGTCTCTCTCTTCTCCCTC